TATGGAATCTATGATTCAGGCTCTAATGTGTCATTGATAAATTCAAGATTGCTAAAGATAAGCAATAAAGAATTAATTTATTCTAACAATACTAATTTAAAAACAATTAATGGCGTTAAAAAGGCTAAAGGCGTAGTAACACTTAATGTAACAATTTTTAATGTTGAGAAAAATATGGATGTCCTTGTAATAGACAAGGAAAATTTCGATTACGATTTTTTAATTGGACTAGATTGTATAAAAAAGTTTTACTTAATCCAAAATGAAAACTTAGAAATACATCAGAAAGTTCCTATACTGAGAAGTGAAATAGTTTCTAAGGAAAAAAATAAAACAGATATTGATATTTCTAAGGAAATAAAATCTGACAATTTAATAAATTTCAACGAAAACTTCAATGTAGAGAACTTCAAAATTTGTATAAATCATCTAGACTATCAGAAAAAAGCAGTAATTGATGACTTAATATTGAACAATAAATCTGTTTTTGCAAAAGACAAATTTGACATCGGAACGGTAACGGATTATGAAGCACATATTGATCTGATAGTAGAAAAATATTGCAGTAAAAGGCCATATCGTTGCACCATTTCAGATAAAAAGGAGATAGAAAATCAGATTGCGAAATTGTTGGAAAAAAATATAATAGAAGAATCATATAGTCCGTTTGCAGCCCCAGTTACATTAGCTTATAAAAGAGAAGAAAATGAAAAATTAAGACTGTGCATAGATTTTCGTGACCTAAATAAAATTGTTGTTCCGCAGTCACAGCCGTTTCCACTTATTGAAGACCTAATAGTAAAAACAAGAGATTGCAAATTTTTCTCAACATTGGACCTGAATTCAGCATTTTGGTCAATACCTTTGCGTGTCACAGACAGATACAAAACTGCATTTGTCACACAGGAAGGTCACTTTCAATGGACTTGTTTACCATTCGGCCTAAAAACATCGCCTGCAATATTCCAGAGAATAATGTGTAATGTTATACGAAAACATAAGCTCGGAGAATTCACTGTAAGTTAATCGATGACATCTTGTTGTTCTCAAAAACTTTCTCAGAACATATCGGGCATTTAAAAAAGTTATTTCAAGCAATTAAAAGTGAAGGTTTTAGACTGAAATTTTCTAAAAGCACATTTGCAGCAGACTCAGTTAAATACTTGGGCCACATAATACAGAATAATTCAGTTAGACCTCTAAAAGACAACTTGATATCAATAAAAAACTTCCCTACTCCAAAATCGCAAAAAAATGTGAGACAATTTTAAGAAAAATAAACTTTTATCACAAGTATGTGCCAAACATAGCAATAAAATTAGAACCATTGCATAACCTTTTGAGAAAAGGACAAATCTTTAACTGGACTAAGGAATGCCAAGAGTCATTTGATGAGATGAAAGAAATATTATGTTCTCAACCAATATTAACCATTTTTATTTATGATCCTAATTTGCCAATTCACATATACACAGATGCCAGTATACTGGGAGTAGGAGCAGTCTTAAAACAGCCACAAGAGAACAAAGAAGAGAAACCAGTAGCATATTTTTCAAAAAAATTGAACGAAGTTCAAAAAAGGAAAAAAGCTATATATCTGGAACGCTTAGCAATCAAAGAATGTGTAAAGTATTGGCAACATATGTTGATAGGTAGGCAATTCACTGTCTTCTCCGATCACAAGCCTTTGGAAAATATGAATAGAAAGTCAAGAACGGATGAAGAATTAGAAGATCGGACATACTACCTATCACAATATGATTTCCAAATTAAATACTCTCCAGGAAGATATAACATTGAAGCTGATTGTCTAAGCAGGAACCCAGTCTTAGAACCAAATGAAAATCTGGATGAACAATTAAAAGTGGTTAACATGATTAAACTAGAAGATATCCTAAAAGATCAAGTTAACAATGAAAATATACAGTGCAAAAAAGATTAATTATTGAAAAAAAAAATAATGTTTTTTATAAGAAAGTTAAGAAAAGGGAAAAAATTATTCTATCAGAGAAATTTAGTATAGAATTAATCAAAAGTGTACATACAGACCTAGGTCATTTAGGAATTAAACAAATGCAAAGAATGATTACCTCATTGTATACAGCAGAAAACATGACAAAAAAACATAAAAAGTATCTGCGAAAGTTGTATAGTATGTATAAAGAATAAGTCCAGAGGACAAAATAAATATGGATTGATGTCCCAATTGGGTCCCGCTACAAAACCTTTTGAGATATGTTCCATTGGAGGCTTTGGGGGTTCAAGGTCGACAAAGAGATACTTGCACCTGCTATCAGATCATTTCACTAGGTACGCATACATTTTAACATCAAGTACTCAAAATGCAAATGATTTCATCAAACTAGTGAAAAACTGTGCAGAAACTGACGGTATCGGCATGATTCTCTCAGACCAATATCCAGGTATAAATTCTAAGGAATTCAAAAGATTTTTAAGTGAAAAGAATATTCCAATAATTTTTACTGCAGTGAATTCGCCCTTCTCAAATGGTTTAAACGAAAGACTAAATCAAACGTTGGTCAATAAAATAAGATGTAAGATAAACGAAAAAGACACTAAAATTGCATGGGCAACTATAGCACAAATGTGTGTAAAAAATTATAATGAAACGGAGCACACTGTCACTGGTTATGCTCCAAAGTATATTTTAAACGGCACAGATGTTGCAATTCTCCCAAATGAACTAAAACATAAGAAGACCGAGCATGACCTGATCCAAGACAGGAAAAAGGTTCTGGTAAATACAATTAAATCACATAATTACAACAAGAAAATTTACGATAAAAATCGAAGAAATATAGAATTCAAAGTTGGTGATGCTGTTTTTGTGGACAATGGAAACAAATTGAACAGGAAAAAGCTTGATGAACTGAGAATCGGACCTTACAAAATTATAGAAAAAATATCAACATCAATTTATAAGATAAACACTGACTGTAAGAAATTAGAGTCAAGCTATTTCCATATCTCGAAACTAACTCCAGCGCCTATGCTTGAGAGACCATAAAGAGGATGTATGTGTAGTCGTTATGTTTTATCTTCTCTGGGAGGGGCGAGATGTAAAGAAAAATATTGTTTTCTTTTATTTAAATAATTTCTTTGTTTTAAATATTTTCATGCATCAGGCCGCTAATAAAATTTATTTTAAAAACTATGGCTGACGCCGGATTATAACATAAAAAGAATTAAGCTGTCATATGACACAATTCATGAAAATAATTTTATTACAAAAATACTTAATGTAAAATAGTGATTTAGGAATCGACATTGTGATTAATAACATTAAATGTCGTTTCTTTACTTACAGAGAAACTCAATTGTGTTTTGATTGCTGTGTCATCCAAATCACTTTAAAATATTATCTTATATATATATATATATATATATATATATATCGAAAATAGGTGAAGTCCGCCAATCCGCAGTGGGGCCGCGTGGTGGCCTATGCCCTTATACCCTCTGTATAGAGGAGGCCTTTGCCCAGCAGTGGGACATGTATACTGTTACTTTACTTTACACCACAATTTAATGTAATGAATAGTCAGATCGTATCGTAATCCTTACAAACTCTTATTATATTACTTACAAACTCTTAACTATGGGTAACTATGACGGATACCATGACAACTCGCAATGTTGTTTACAGTATGTCGCGTAGTTATCGTAGTTCCTTATTGTCGGTTTACATTATTTTATTTTCTTAGTACTATAGTACCTGATGGCTTTCACGGTGATAATAATATGAAGAATACAACTGAAATGAAAAAACCAAATTAATCTCTGCAAATGATAAAACGATGATACAAGTTGAAGAATGATTATTTTTTAATAAAACAGCAAAATCAAGCAAACAGAAAGAAATAGCAAAGAGGTTCTCAACAACAACATTAGTATCAAAAATATCGGCGATAAATTCGATATATCGAAAATTGTATGGAGAAGTATCGATATTTTTGCCTATATGCGTAATTGTGTACCGCCAGTGTGACCATTTGTGGCAGATTTCTGCCATTTGGGCAGATTTCGCACCTTAAATTTTAGATGTGGCAGATTAGGCTGACGATTCAAAAAATTGGCAGATTTCAAGGAAATCTTTATTATTTTTGAAATACATTTGTACATATAAATTAATATTAATATTTAGAATGCTTATAATATTCTGTGTCGTATTGTTTACTTTTATTAATATTTGGTAGCAAATTATCTTACATGCATGATGAAGAGAAAATAAGAGCGTTCTTATCGATCTGAGTGTGAACAAGATCTTTTACTTCCTTCCTGGATTTCCAGAGCTAAGAAGGATCCTGATGTTGCATTTTGCAAAGCTTGCAATAGTAAACTAGATATTATTCTAAAAGAGATTTTCAAGTAAAAACAAAAAAATTTTTAATTTACTTTTTAAATATTTCAAACTTTGAAAAGCTCTTTTAAGTTTGCCTATGTCAAATGAGGAAAATAGAGGGTCTTTTACCTAAAGACCGTAATCCTAAAGGTGTGCGGATTAAATTTCTGAAAACGTTGAAATCCTCATAAGCGCCGCACTTCACTAGACGACAGAGCGAAACGGATGGAGACAGCTCGTCGATCAATTGAAAATGAGTCACGATACTCAGCAATGAGGGAACGACCAACAAGAAGATGTTAAATGCCTCATGCGGAAGATTGCCTATTTCATTAATTAATCTGTACTGTCTCTAACGATAATATAATATGATGGCCTATTTTTGGCATTTTTCGGAGTTGAGTTTGGCAGATTTTGGCAGTTTTTGATGGTGTTGGGCAGATTTGCCATTTTTAAAATGGTCACCCTGCGTGCCGCCGACCGGTTGTTTAATTAGAATGTTTTTTGTTTTGTTACTTTTGTTTATTCTTAATATCGATTCAATACATAAGACATGGTTATTTTTCTTTTTCTAGCATTATTTCTTGTTTCTTCTATTAGTTACGATAAATATGGATATGTTGTATATTGTCCATGCATGGGTAAGTTAGATTTTAGGTCAACATTTAAAAGAATGAAACCATTATGTGTTTTAAATTGTCTGCATCACGATTAAGCTCATTAAAATATAAATTATTGTGATTTACTAAATTAAATTTAAATCGATAAGTACTCAAGTTAGTTAGTTGCATAAAACAAATAGTGGTAACAAAAACAATATTTACCCTATAATTACGAGTTTTTTAAAATGGAACCTATATTCCTATAGAGATAAAATAGATTTATATATTATACGAATTTGCCTCGTTTTAGGTAGATTTGGAAATCAAGCGGATAATTTCTTAGGTGCTCTTGCATTTTCTAAAGGAATAAACCGAACTCTAGTGCTGCCACCATGGGTTGAATATAGATATGGAGAACCTAAGTCTGTTCAAGTGCCTTTTGCTAATTATTTTGATGTAAATTCCATAACTTCATATCATAAAGTTATAACAATGGAGCACTTCATGACTGAAATAGCCCCACTTGTTTGGGTACCACAAAAGAGGATATCATTTTGTTACATTCAAAGAAGTGGAGAGGAACAAAATAGTTGTAATGCTAAATCTGGAAATCCTTTTGGACCTTTTTGGGATACATATAACATAGATTTTGTTGGATCTGAATTTTATGGACCTTTAAATTATGATGCTCATAATAAAGTAATGATGAATAAATGGAAACAACAATATACTCCAGAAAAATGGCCAGTTTTAGCATTCACTGGTAAGTTAAATATATAATCATGTTTTTGGTTTTGTGTGAGAAAGTGGAAAACAAGCTAGTGGTTCACCTGACACCCGTAAGGTTGCAGATGGGTTGCCACCTCCTAAAGTGGGCACCAGGCACCATTCACTCACCATAAGAAACGCATAAAAGCAACACATGTACTGCATGCTGGTCTTATGTGAATTTTTAGTATTAACCTGGACAGACCTGCCCATTCGTGCAACAGTGTGAACACTGTTGCGTGGCCCCACCACCGTAAAATTATTATTATAATGTTTTATTACTTTTAATAAAGATTTAGGTTTATTTCTTACTCAGTTTTGAATTGTTGAAATAATTTTAATTAATAATGAATGGCTTTTCAAATAGCTGTAATAAATTTCTTTTAAATTAATTTTTTTAAAAGGGTTGCCATTGATTTCTCTGGGATGCCATCACCAGCTCCGGGTTTCCTTATCATGGTACCACCCTTGGGATATCTCCTCGTCAACAAAAAAAGTTGTTGAAATCTGTTCATAAATGATGAAGTTATCTGCGAACACGAAAAAAATCTTTATGGTTGAATTGAGAAACCTTCTTTTTTGAAGTCTGTTAAATTAAAAAATGTACTTCTTTAGCTATTTATAGAGGTGAGACGTATATTCTGGAACAAGTATTGACACTAGTTTTCAATCAATCAACATATCTCAAGACTAAGTATCATAACAGTAGAAACTCATATTGAGTATTTAGCAGTATTACTAGGTTGGGACTTGTAAATGCTTTGGAATGCGGCCGGGCCGTTGCAATGGTAATAACGAATGAAAAGACTATAACTCAATAGTTAATAATGTTTAAATAACTTTTTCAACTCATAATATTTGCAAGATGTGTTTGATTAACGCATGTGAGTGTAATTGTTGCTCACTACTTGGGTAGTCTACACCAAACAGTTGAAAGCTGCACTGTGTACTACTAAATTTTATTTTATTTCCAGGTGCACCAGCTAGCTTTCCCGTGCAGAAAGAAAATGTCTATTTACAAAAATTTTTAAAATGGAATAATGGCATTGTAAACATGATGAAAAGTTTCATCAAAAAGAATATGAGTGGTGGTGGATTTATAGGTATTCATTTACGAAATGGTCAAGATTGGATACGAGCTTGCCAACATGTAAATGATAGTCCAAGATTATTTGCTGCCCCACAATGCGTTGGTTACAAAAATGAAAGAGGTTTATTAACTAAATCAATGTGCTTTCCAGAAAAGTCGGAAATAATTAAGTAAGTTCATAATTTCAATATGAAATAATTAAGTAAGTTTCTTCATAATTTCTTGCAGTGCAGAAATTAACCAAGTAACTTATGTTTATATTGATTGATTGTTCTTCTACTACTGTAGAAGAACAATTAATATAAACATAAGTTATTTGGTTGTTGTAGTGTAATCAGTAGATTGTTTTACTTTTAAGGTATTCTATACCAATTCGAATAAACTTATGCGGAAATCCCGCGTTTCTCAGGAATCTCTCACTAAGGCCTTCTAACATATCTAGAAATAAGAATTATTAGATAGCTCCTAAGAAACATAATGGTTTTGAAACTTAATTTAAAAAATTTCATTATTTAAAACTAATAACTAATTAACATTTCTACAAAATGTAACATCTTTAATAGCTACTTGGCCATCAGTAAATGTAAAGTATCAGCCTATACATATCCCACTGCTGGGCAAAGGGTATCAGGGCAAAGTCGGTGGACTCGTGGTGACGCAACCCTACTGCGGATTGGCGGACTTCACATATCTTCGAAATATTTTTTTTATTATTATTTCGAAAATATGCAGGTTTTTTCATGATGTTTTTCTTCACTGCTGAGCACATGATAATTCAGCACTTGAAATTATCAATTTCATCGGCACCGGGGATTGAACTCAGGTTGCTCGAGTATATTGAAAAGGTGAAGGACACTGAGCTATCACGGTCTTCGAAAGCAGCAAATGTGTTTCAGTTTTTTCGTCCTAATCGTTCTTGATTTCCAAATATAAACTGCATGTATATTATAGACATATCTATTGACTCCTTGTAATAAATGAAAGTATTCTTGTGTGTATAAAGATTGTTTTACACTCATATCGTCCATGTTAGTGTGCAGATATAGGAATGCCATTGAAAATGAGTTGCCACCAATAATGTGTCCACTTCACGCCGTTATTCTGTGAAGTCGTGGTTCTTTCCCAGACATACCTGCCCATTCGTGCAACATGGAAGATTGTTGCGTGGCCCAACTACAGTCAAAATGTGTTTAGGATTACAGATTACCCATTACATGCAACGAAACGAAATAAGTATCGATAATTTGGACATAAAGTTTTATTTATTGGTTTACGTGACATATTTCTTAGATAAAAGGATATGACCCAAATCTGCCATGTTCCATTCGTTAATCTATCACAAAATGTTTCAGATCCAAACAGGAGAATTTTCATGACGTTTATTAGAAATCTATATCACTAAAACATGGATGTAATACGACACACACTTAATTTATTTTTTTATAATTTCAGGCAAGTAAAGCGAGCTATTAAGAAGTTGAGTGATATAAAATTTCTCTTCGTTGCTTCAGATTCTAATCATATGATAGAAGATTTCAAAACGGCTTTACGTCAATTTGATGTAGGCATCGTAAAAATAGAGCAGTCTAACCCACATTTGGACTTAGCTATCTTGGGGCAAGCAAATTATTTCATTGGGAATTGTGTTTCCTCATACTCAGCCTTTGTAAAACGAGAAAGAGACGTCAAAGGCTTACCTTCAGAATTTTGGTCGTTTCCCAGCCCAAAAAAAATTAAACATGAAGAATTATAATCAATATATGTATGTAATTTTATTTAATTTTACGTAGTCAAGTAAAAAGACAGATGAACAACAAAAATGTAAAATATCTGAACAGCAAAAATGAAAGAATATCACAATACTATAAAAATCATAGTAGAATTTTGTAGTCTCCGCTGAATCCTAAATTGATCTATGAAAGTATGACTAGAATGATCATATATAAGTAAAGTAAGTAATGTGGCAATTGAGCAGACAATCATCATCTTGTGTCAAGTCTGTAGAGTGATTAGTAGATTATTGTTGCGGTAATATTGGTTACAAAAGGCGCAGATTTGGGAATATGTTCTAAAAATACCAAGAAGGTAGATGGCAGCAGCACCACCAGACAAAAATGATTTTAGTTCTAGTGTGTAATTAGACTAGTCGAATGTCGAATATTTGGCGGGATTCCTGGCCGAATATTAGGCAAAAGTATTAAGCCTGCGCATGGCGGGGAAACTTATATCGACTTGATTCTAATTTGTTTAATTGTATTTACCTCCTTTTCACACCGCGTATTGTCTATTTTTTTATTTTATGTAAGAAGAAGGCATGGACATTTGCAACACCCATAGGGTTGCAGATGCGTTACCACCTTTTAGTAAATTGGGCCCCAATTACTTCACCACAAGTCACTCATTCACCAGACGAAAAGCAGATGTATAACTCTTCTTCACACTGGTTCTGTGAGTTCGTGCTACTTCTCTGGACGGACATGCCCATTCGTACCAGTGTTGCGTGACATTCAAAGTCAAATATCTTTATTCAATATAGAAGCATTACACTTACTGATTGAAAGTCAAAAAACTCTACCACCGATTCGGAGAGGTACCCATTAACCTGAGAAGAACCGGCGTAAGAAAATCTTTCTTAATTCTTGGACAAAAAATTACAAACGTGTACAATTTATTAAATTCCATTTGAGAGAGCCTGGAGCGCTCAATTCATTTCCAGAGTGTGTTATCATTAAAATAATCACTAATACTATAATAGCCAATTAAATTTAAATTTACATCATGCACATTACTATGTCTTGAAAAGACATTCTTATTTTTGTGGACATACATAACATTTGCAAGTATGTACTGAGAAGCTACTGTCAATATTTTTATTTCATTAAACAAGTTTTTAGTGAATCTCTGGGGCCCAGGTTATAAACTCCTCGAATAGCTCTCTTTTGCAGGATGAAGATAGTGTTTATATCGGCTGCATTTGCCCAAAGTAGAATGCCATAAGACATTATACTGTGGAAATAGCTAAAATATACTAGACCCGTATACACAACAGTCAACTGTCTAATTTTTTTGACCGCGAAGACTGCTGAGCTAAGTCTACTCGCAATTTGGTATCTACAGTTATGCCAAGAAATACAGTAGAGTCAATGAGGTCTAACGCTTCGCCATGTAATAGTACATCAGTTTTTACACTTTTTACGTTGGGAGTTGTATATTTAATACATTTCGTGTTTTTACTATTCAACATTAAGTTGTTAGCACTAAACCAATGCACTACAGTGGAGAGAATATTGTTAACATCGTCATAATTTAGCAAATCATGAGCAAACAATACTATCTCATGATCATTATTAACAAGATAGGGCAGGTAATTTATGTAGATGAGGAAGAGAAAAGGCCCCAGAATAGATCCCTGCGGGAACCCCATATTTACAAGGGCCCCGGGAGATCTCTTGCCATCACGTCAACTCTCTGAACACGATAGCTCTAGTACGATGTCACAAGATTGAGTGCTCCATCTCATATACCATAGTGGTGTAGTTTCCTGACTAGAGTGTCATGCTGTACACAATCAAACGCTTTGGTTAAGTCACAGAATATAACTAAGGCATCCTCTTCCCAGGCTTCAAAAATATTACACATATAATATACAAACAAGCTGGATACCCGCATCTGTTGTTGAGGGACCCCTAGTAAATCTATAATGGTTGTTATGCAACAAATTATGTGTACTAAAATGGAGTAACATTTGATTCAAAATATTTTTTTCAAAAATTTGACTAAGGGCATTACTACAGTTTTATTTAGTCTTGTAATAGCCGAATCTTCGCTGTAAGTCTAGTTATAGCTGATTTTATATTTATAACCTAACAACAAATTACGCAACAAAGGGTTTGATGTGGTTAGTTTTGTAAACAAGGATAATTCGATAACGAGGCATTACATAAGTTCATTCTCCAGGTACTTAGCGGTTTATGACTTTTGAGCTTGTATTAAAGGTAACTTGTATATATCGAGTAAAATTCCGTAGTTTATATTTGAAATTTACATCCGGAAAGACTTAAACGATTAAGTCTCGTCTGATTCAGTTATATATAATGTATATCATAATATAATAAAGTAGAAGGACACCCCCGGCACCTAGCCACTCGAGTAAATGCATTTGTCGAGATAGGATAGAAACCAAAGTCAAGTGGCAGTCAAACTGTATTTAAAACGATATTCCCTACAATGTGTATACCAAAGAAATCAAGAGATATCAATGATTTTATCTTATTTAACGATTTTATCTTATATTACGGTGGTAGGGTCACGCAGCAGCCTCGGCTGTTGCACGAATGGGCAGGCTTGTCCGGGTAAGTACCACGACCGCACAGAAGACCGGTGTAAAGTGGAAGTATAATACTTTCGCATTTCGTCTAGTAAGGGAGGTGGCCGGAGCCCAATTTTCAAAAGAATGTCAACGCATCTGGAACCCAAGAGTGTAAGCAGATATCCATAGGCGGCGGTATTCACTTAACATCAGGTGAACCGTCTGCTTGCTTGGCAATTTTTCACATAAAAAAAAATTAATGAAGTGAAATATGGCCGCTTCAAAATACTTGTATTAAAATAAAAATTAACGCTTAAAAATATTGTTCGGTGAGAAACAAAAGAAAGCAAAAGCTTTCTTGTTTCATCAATCCATCTTTTCTAAATTGATGTTGGACATGAAGAGAAGTGAGCTGCGAGTGCTGTTTTGCGCTGGTGTAATCAAGTCTGAAATCTTAGAATGGGTCACGAGCAAATAATATTCAAATGCTCAAAATTAGAAGCTTTTATCATTGACGCTTATATTTACAAGATTAAATAATTGTTGAAATATTAAGCCAAAGTATATTTAGTGTCACCACGGTCTTTTCGGTCCTTACATTTGATGATTGTATGAAGCTTGCTCATTCCGTTCAGTTCCATCATTCAAAAACAGATGTGTACCTTAATTATAGGTAAAAACTACATTACAACAGGCAGTAGAGAAAAAACCAAAAAACTTTTACAAAACTAAATGTGAAATACGAGCATTGTAATAATACAAACATTAACTAAAATACGGTTAAAACAGAAAAAAAGCAGTATAAAAAGTACGTTACTAAAAAAAATATGTTACAATAAAAAAATATATGAATTGACTGCCAATAATATTTTTATAAATTGTTAATTTATAAAAATATTATTGGCACTACTCAAGTACAATTTTATCGAATGTTTGAATCTGGATATATTATTGTCAAAAATATAGATTTCTCTTTCCTTATTTAATAAGTTGAATGATTTAATTAATCTATTAATAGGAGCATTGTATCCTAAGTTAGACCTAGCCGCATTGCGGCGAAATAATGGCCTACTGCACATTCTGAGATGTTTCGAAGGAGCTGTGAAGCATAAGGTTTCAAGTAACTGTGGGCAGTCATCTACGCCGTTTGCTAATTTGTATAAAAACATGTTGTCAAGCAAATATCTTCGATCGGAGAGTGCACACAGCCCGAAGTAATTAAGTCTGTCAATATACCGAGGTAACTTTTTTGTTAGGCCGCACTTAAAAACCAAATGCCATAAGAAATGCTTCTGTATACCCTCAAGTCTTTTGATGTAGATGTTATAGCGAGGATTCCAAACGACAGGGCAATATTCCAAGATACTTCGAACTAAAACATTGTATAGAATAATTAATGTCTGTGGATTTCTAATGAATTTTGCATTTCTCAAGAGAAAGCCTAAAATTTTAAACCTTTTTTGACACAGATTGCCAATATGGACATTAAAGCGCAATTTTTTGTCTAAAGTTACACCTAGATCGCCATTTCATCAACCTCTTGTAGTTTATTATTTTGTACGGTGTAAAATCGATTAGGATAAGTTTTTGATTTTGTGAAACGAATGACAAAACATTTATTTATATTAAGAGTCATCATGTTTATCCGATAACAAGCCTCTAAACGATCAATATCTTTTTGAGGTAAGGAAACATCATTTGTACAACTTATGGTTCTGAAAAATTTCAAGTCGTCAGCAAAAAGATTTAAAACGACAACTGATTTTCGGTTAAGGAGGTAAGATTCAAACCACTTCAAAAGGCTGCCATATATCCCGATGTTCGACAGTTTATCAATGAGAATTCTATGATCGACTTTGTCGAAAGCCTTACTGAAATCAGTATAAATAACATCAGCTGATAAGCCCGAGTCCACAATATTTGATATAGTATCGACAAACGATGTAAGATTAGTTGCCGTAGATTTAGCTTTGGTAAAACCGTGTTGATGGGGAGATAATATTTGTTTTAGGTGCCAGCTTAGCATTGGGTGTATAAGTTTTTCAAAATATTTTGGCAAACACTGGTAGAATAGAAATAGGCCTGTAATTTTCTGCCAATTCTTTATCTCCTCCTTTAAATAGTGGCATGACTATAGCATTTTTCCACATCTGTGGAAAGGTGCCAGACGAAAGGGATTTATTGTACAATATAGATAAAGGCAGGGTTAAGTAAGAGGCACATTTAACTACAAAAACTGAAGGAACACCGTCTGCTCCTGCACCTTTATATAAGTCCATTCTCTTTATAACATTTAAAACTTCTTCTGGCTTAAAACAAGTATTGCTCAAGAACACAGACCCATTGAGGTTAGTTTCG